CATAATCATCATCGCCATCATCATCATCATCATCATCATCATCATCATCATCATCATCATCATCATCATCATCATCATCATCATCATCGTAACATCATCATCATCATCATCATCAGCAGCAGCAGCAGCCGCAGCACCATCATCATCATCATCGTCAGCATCAGCATCATCACCGTCATCATCAATCCCAAGATAATCACCATCATCACCATCAGCCTCTGCATCGACATCCTCATCCCCAACATCATCACCGTGATCATCGTCGTCATCGTCCTACTCGCGATTTTCACAGTACTAATCATGATACGCAATCATCATTACCATCATCAGCATCATCATCACCATCGCCATCACCGACATCATCATCATCATAATCATCATCACCATCATCATCATCACCACCACCATCATCATCATGATCATCATCATCACCATCATCATCACGATTCCTCGCCATCATCATACTGTAGTTTCGTGAGGCGCTGGCACGCGCAAAGATTCTTGACATCGCATCGGTCGTTCAACCTTGAACCGACAGAGGCCCCGATCGTTCAAGGCCGAATCCCGCCGGGTCCTGTGACGTTACCGTGTCCCTCGATGCTTCCTCGTCGCTCTATCGTGCCGAATTCGGCCTTGAACGCCTTCGCCAGCGCGGCGTCGCCGCACGAACCTACCGTAGTCATCCTCGTCGCCTGCATCAGCATCAGTTGCAGCAGCATCATAATCGTCATCGACGCCGTCCTCAACATCAGCAGCAACATGATCTTCATCGTCATCATCAGCAGCATCATATGAACAGTCGCCTTGCCTCGTCCGTCCTCGAGCACGAACTGCCTGGGTGGAGTCTTTCTCCAATCACCAGTGGCCGTCACACCCGCGCGGCGGGTTGCAGACAGAACAGAGTGTGTCGGACCCTCGGGCAGCCGATGCGGCTGCAACGCGCGGTTGCGGCTCCCCGTCAGCGCCCAACAACGCGTCGGCTCTTCATCTCGTGTATTCCTCCTGTACACAGACATCATCATAATCATCGTCATCATCAGCAGCATCAGCAGCAGCATCAGCAACATCATCATTAGCATCGTTATCATCATCAGCAGCATCAGCAGACTCACCATCGTGCTATCAACGTCATCGCAATCAAGGAAATTGGCATGATCAGCATCATCAGCATCAACATCATCACCATCATCATCGTGATCATCCAGAGCCGCATCATCATCTGCAGCAGCATCATCACCACAACCATGCTCATCATCCTCACCATCATCAGCATCATCAGCATCACTATCATCATCAGAATCATCATGATCGTCATGATCGTCACCTGGACCATCATCATCATGATCATCATCATCACCCTCCTCATCCTCATCATCATCCTCATTTTCATCCAAATAATCAGCATCATCAGTATCAGCAGCATCATCATCACCATCATCGTCGTAAGCATCATCAGCAGCAGCATCACCACCACCATCACCAGAATCATCATCACCACAACCACCACAACCACCATCATCATGATCATCATCAGCATCATCATCATCATCAGCGTCATCAGCATCATCACCATCGTCATCCTCAGCAACATCATCAGCATCCTCATCATCGATATCAAAAGTATCATCAGCAGCAGCATCACCACTACCGCCATCACCATAAGCATTATCGTCAGCAGCAGCATCATCATCAGCATCACCACAATCAGGACATGAACCTGATCATGATCATCATCAGCATCAGCAGCAGCACCATCATCATCATCATCATCATCATCATCAGAATCATCATCAACAACTCATCAGCAGCATCATCATCAGCAGCAGCATTATGATCATCATCGTCATCATCAGAATCACCATCATCAGAATCGACAGCATCATCATGTTGATGATCATCATTAGCAGCATCGTCATCATCATCAGCAGCAGCATCATCGTCGTCATCGTCATCGACATCATCATCATCATCATCATCAGCATCATCATCAGCAGCAGCATCATCGTCAATCGTCATTGTCATCGTCCTCCCTCCTCCCTCCTACTCTCCTCCTCCACCATATCCTCATCCTGCTCCTCGTCCGATAATCCTCCTAGTTGTCGCTTATGGCATCCATCGTCTTCAGCCTCCTGCTCCTCCTCCGCCTCCTCCTCCTCCTCCGCCTCCTCCTCGGCGGGCCAAAGAACAGGAATAAACGCAATGATGAGATGGGCCGGAGTGGTGGCATGTCGGATGTGATGTGATGCAATCGCACCTGACTTGCCCCTCCCCACTCCCCTCTGATGTCAGATCCTCCATCCAGTGTGCTTCCCCACTTCCCTCCCGTCTTCCTCCGCTCCCTCAGGCAGATACTCCATCCTCCTCCCTTGCGTGCAAGACGCTGCGGCGGCGGGGCGACCGTTCAAGCCGCCACCTGCTCCAGCGCTCCCCCGCTCCGCTCCACTGGAGGGGGCTGCCCCTGCGACACGCTTACCACTCAGACCTCCGACGTCGCGTCAGCTCCCCCTCCTGATGGGCCGCCAGAGGCCCCGACCCCTCCCACGAACCAGTTGTAGGGGGCCACATGCGAACCCTACCCCTACCCCCCACGATTTCTGAGGGGGAGGGGTAGGGTTCGCATGCCCCCCCCCAAGTCTGTCATCCCGAACCGTTTTGTTGACGGCTCGGGGCCCAGCAGGGCATCCAAGAGGGCGAAGACTGCAGGAAGCACGCCCGCGGGCGAGAGAAAGTTCCTCGCGGCGCGATGGGGTCTGGGCCTGCCTGCGGCAGGCCCAGCGCCACAGCGCCCCGCCTGCTGCCACGCCAACTGAGGGCTCCCGCGCCCGCTCTGCCCCCCCGATCGGGGGGACGCCAGGGTGGAGGCGGGGCCAAAGGAAAGCCGCTCCTGGGAGGAGAAGATGTGAGAGTCCAAATGTGTTCGATCCCTAACACCACCTGGGGAGCCCCCCCCTAATCCCACCAGCCCTTTAGGGCGTAGGCGGATTCGGGCGTTTCTTGTTCCGACCCCCTTCTTCCCCTTCGGGGAGACCCCCCCCGCCCCAGGCAACCGCCAGCCAACCAGGACAAATGACCCCCCACACAGTTCCTGACAAAAGTAATACAACACACAATTCGGGACAACTTTTTCCTTCTCTATCATAGATTTGGCACGGCCCATTTGATTTGAACAACACTGCTGTCACTTCCCTTGAGGAAATTGGCAATGATGTCTGTTGTTTTTGTGCCAAACGCACAAAAATACATCACACCCCCACGAAAGCGCGACCGCTCGAAGGACGGCTCGAGCAGGCCCAGCATCGCATAGGCTAGCCTACTAAACTAGCATGCGTTTTGTATGTGGGCCTGCGCTTCGTCTGTGGGCAACTGCCCGGAAAGAGGGGCAGACGAGCACCGCCGAGGGCCCCACGCGGCGATTGTGGCAGAGCCTCTACCTGTGGGGCCTCTAACTGTATCACGGCCTCGCTCTTCGAAAAATGCCCTGATGAGCTCTGCCTCTGTGGGCTCTCGCTCGGCGTGGCCGCCGGAAGCGCAGCATCCACCCGCTTGTTGGACGGGTCGGGCTCGAAGGGCAGCCGCCGCACGCCCGTGGGGAACCTGCTCCAGGGCACCAGGCCGCGTCCCCTGGGATAGATATCTATATCTATGTATATGAAGGACGATTTCGGAAACACTGAACCCCAAAAAGTGTTCATCCCTTGGAGGTACACATGTTACTTCCGCCGCCTTCCGCCAGCTTCCGCCGCCTTCCGACGAGGAAGAGATAACCACTCCTTTGATCCTCGAAGGTGGCACGCCTCATATACTGGAACCACGCGCTCGCGCTACGCGCGCGTTTACGTTCCAGCCGACCGCGCAGTCGTTGTTAGCACAACTCGCGCCAATCCACGAACCCCAGAACACCCTGGGAGGGGTTCCCAAGGCAAGGGTTGTCGTCAGCGCGTGGAGGTGCTGCGCACCCCGAAGGACAGTTCAGAGCTCGGTGGGCGGCCACGGAGCCGTGCGAGATCGACGCGCGACGCATCGGAGGGCTCCGAATGTTTCCCAAACTGCGTAAGTGACCTGACTGCTACGATGGCCGAGGAGTGCCCCAAGAGGTTCCGGGCCGCCAGGCCGTCGCCGCCGCCACCGCCCCCGCGTGCGCCGCAGCCGCAGCCGCCGCCGCAGTCGCGATAGTCGTCGTGGTCGCCGTGGTGGTCGTGGTGGTGATGGTGCTCGTCGTCTTTGGATGTGGTGACGATTGCACGTTTTGGGGCGTGTTTTGCTTGTCCTGGGCCTCTCGGGGCCTCCAGACTCTGGAGACATGTGGAGCCTCAAGGGCCTCCGGAGGCCTCCGGGGGGCTCTCCCGGCACTCCCGCAGGTTCCCGCAGCTCCCAAGGCGCCCAGGGAGCTCCCAAAGCGGCCCCAAAGCACCAACAACGAGGAAACGGTCTGCGTCAAATTTGTGTGGGGCCGTCTCGGAGCTCTCTTGGAGCCGTCTTGGGCGCTTCCAGGGCCGGGGGTCCTCTTGGCCCGTCTTGGGGCCCTCTTGGGGCCCTCTTGGGGCGTCTCGAGGCGGTTTGGGGGGCCTCTGGAGACGTCGCGGAGCGACGGAAGCTCGAAAAGTCGAGACCTTCGAAAACGCATAAACACCGCAGGAAAACCATTGGTTTGTGCCTCTTGCGTCAATCTGGGGAGCGCTCATCGAGTCCTCTCGAGCCGCCTGGGGGCATCTGAAAAAAGAAAAGCTCGAATTTTCGCTCCGGGTTCCTGCGCTCGGGCCCCTCTTGGAACCGTTTTGGGGCGTCTAGGGCGCCTCTCGGGCCGCCTGGTGCCGGCCCCCTTGGGCCGTTTTTGGGCATTCTTGGGGGCCTCGTGGCCCGTCTCAACGGTCTTGGGCGGAGCCACTTGGAACGTCGCAGGGCGTCAGAAGCTCGAAAAGTCGAGAGCACGAAAGGGATTGAAAAACCTGAGGCAAATCAATGGTATTTGCCTCTTTGGGCCCTCTGGGGAGCGCTCGGCGAGCCCTCTTGGGCCGTTTGGGGGCATCTTGGAACGGAAAGCTCGAAGTGTCCTTTCGAGTTCCTTCCTGCTCATGGGCCCCTCTCGGGGCCGGTTCGGGGCCCTCTTGCACAATGTCGGGCCAGTGTTGGGGCAGTCATAAAGGCCTTGGCCCGTCTTGGCGCAGTCTTGGTGGCCTCTTGGGCATTGGGGGCCTTTTGGGACGTCGTAGAACGACGGAAACTCGAAAAGTCAAGACCTTCGAAAACACTTTTTTGATGCGCGGGGCGAGAACGAACCTCTTTTGATAGATGCTAAGCGGGCCGCGCACAGCATGAATGAGGGAGGGAGGGCACAAGAAGGCGGGGCCTCACGTCAAGGCCGAGAGAGGGCGAAGCCCGGGGACAAGGCGGTGCCGAAGTAGAACTGCAGGAACATGCACACCTTGGACGGGAGCCCGGCGGCGAAGTCCCGGGAGGTGAAAAGTCGGCGGTGGTGCCGTCAGCGGCGCTTCGAAACCACCAGCCTCATCAACTGCGGGGGAGGACGCGCCACGCCACCAGGACGACGTCCGAGAGGAAGAGTAGCACCACTGGGTTGGAGCGCAACGTCGTGCCACCATATATGATGCCGAAGAGGTCCAGGTCGCGGTAGTCCAATCCACGAACATGGGAAAGCAGCCGCAGTCTGAGGCGCGGCGGCCAGGCGAAGCCGGTAACTTGCCGCCCATAACCGACCGGATGCCGGTGCGCTGCAGGGAGGAGGCCTGCCCCGCAGTGGCAAGCGCGCGGGGAAGGGCAGGAGCTAGACACGTTGCGCTGCCGTCCCGCAGTGTCAAGGGCCGGGCCTAAGCCGCGCAGCGCCAAGACCCGCGGGGCCGCCGAGGCAGCAAGGTGCAAGCGCCAGGCACCGGGCCGGAGCCGCGCAGTGCCGGGCGCTGCCGACACGCGGGGGGGGTAGCGAGCGGGGGGGGGGGGGGGCGGGCAAGGAAGGAGAGAGGCCGGCCCGGGAGCCAGCGGTCGCCAGGGCAGCCCCGCACCAGCAGCAGCGCGTGGCCGAGTGGAGCAGGGAGACCCTGCAGGATCAGGGGGGACAAACGGCCCCATCACCGGGTGAGCGTGGGCCGCGTGGAGCAGGGAGACCCTGCGGGATCAGGGGGGACAAACGGCCCCATAACCAGGCGATGCGGATCAAGGGGGACAAACGACCCCATATTCAGGTCAGGTAGAGCAAAAGGGGGAGGAGGAGGGTCTGGGCGACTAACGGTCGCAATTGCCAGTGAGATGGGGAGAGATGAGGAATCATAATGGCATCTTTTCCAGGGTGTTTTTAGCGGTCGCGAGCTGCTCGTGCTGCTCGCCGACGAGCTGGACGCGGTGGTGCTGCTTGTGCTGGTCGTGCTCGTCACACTCGCGGTGCTGCACTCGGTCTTACTGCTCGCCCACGTGCTGGGAGCAGTGGCGCTGCTGGTACTGGTCGTGCTAATCACGCTCCTGGCGCTGCTTTCGGTCGCACCGCTCGCCGACGCACTGGGCGTGGTGCTAGGAGTGGTAGTGCTGCTGGTACCCGTCGTGCTCGTCACACTCACGGTGCTGCTCTCGGTCGCACTGCTCGCCGACGTGCCGGACGTTGGGGGGCTGCTGGTGCCGGTCGTGCTCGTCATACTCGCGATGCTGCTGGAACGGGCCGTGCTCGCCACACTCGTGATGCTGCTCTCCGTCGCACTGCTCGCCGTCGCGCTGGACGTAGGGGCGCTGCTGGTACCGGTCGTGCACGTCATACACGCGGTGCTGGAACGGTTCGTGCTCGTCGAACTCGCGGTGCTGCTCTCGGTCGTACTGCTCGCCAACGTGCTGAGCATAGTCGCGCTGCTGGCACCGGTTGTGCTCGTCGAACTCGCGGTGCTCCACTCGGTCGTACCGCTCGCCGACGCGCTGGGCGTAAAGGAGCTGCCGGTCCCGGTCGTGCTCGTCACACTCGTGGCGCTGCTCTCGGTCGCAATGTTCGCCGACGCGCTGGGCGTAATAGTGCTGATGGTACCAGTCGTGATCGTCAGACCCGCGTCGCGGCTCTCGGTCGCACCGTTCACCGACATGCCGTGCGTAGTGGCGCTGTTGGTACCGGTCATGATGGTCACCCTCGTGGCGCTGCTCTCGGACGTACTGCTCTGACGTGCTGGGCGTAACGGTGCTGCTGGTACCCGTCGAGCTCGCCACACTCGTGGCGCGGCGCTCTGTCGCACTGCTCGCCGACTTGCTGGGCGTAGTGCCGCTGCATGTACGGGTCGCGCTCGTCACGCTCGCGGTGTGCTTTCGGTCGTAGCGCTCGCCGACGCGCTGGTCATAGCGATGGCGCGGGCGCATGCCATGCTCGTAACACACGCGGCGCTGCTCTCGGTTGTACTGCTCGCCGACGTGCTGGGCGTAGTGGTGTTGCTGGCGCGGGTCGTGCTCGTCCCACTCGCGGTGCTACTCACGGTCGCATTGCTCGCCGACGCGCTGGGCGTAGTGGTGCCACTGGTACCGGTCGTGCTTGTCATACTCGCGGTGCTGCTCGCGATCGTACTGCTATCCGACGTGCTGGGCTTACTAGCGCTGCTGGCAATGGTCCTGCTCGTCACGCTAGTGACCCTGCTCTCGCGCACCGCTCGCCGACGTGCTGGGCGTAGTGGCACTGCGGATACCGGCCACGCTCGTCACATTGGTGGTGCTGCTCTCGGTCGCGTGGCTCGCCGACGTGTCGGCGGTGCTGCAGGTACCGGTCATGCTCGTCACCCTCGTAGTGCTGCTCTCGGTCGTACTGCTCGTCGGCGCGCAGGGGGTAGTGATGCCACTGGTACCAGCCGTGCTTCTTACACTGGTGGTTTTGCTCTCGGTCGCACTGCTCGCCGACGTGCTAGGCGCACTGGTGCTGACGGTGGCGGTCGTACTCGTCGCACGCGTGGTGCTGCTCTCGGTCGTACTATTCTCCGATGTGCTGGGCCTGGCGCTGCTGATACCGGCTGCGCTCGTCACACTCGCGGGGCTGCTCTCGGTCGCACTGCTCTCAGACGTGCTAGACGTAGTGGTGCTGCTGGTACCGGTCGTGCTCGCCGCACCCGCGCCGTTGCTCTCGGTCGCACTGCTCGCCGACGCGCAGGGCGTAGCGGTGCTGCCGGTAGCGATCGCGCTCGTCGCACCTGTGGTGCTGCTCTCGGTGGCACCGCTCGCCGACGTGCTGGGCGTAGCGGTGCTGCGGGCAGAGCTCGCGCTCGCCATACTCGTGGAGCTGCTCTCGGTCGTGCTGCTCCCCGACGTGATGAGCGTAGTGGTGTCGCTGGTACCGGTCATAATTGTCATAATCGTGGTGCTGCGTTCGGTCGCACTCTCCGACGTGCTGGGCGTAGTGGTGCTGCTGGTACCAGTTGCGCTTGCCACACTCGTGAGCTGCCCTCGGTCGTACTGCTCGCCGCGGTGCTGGGTAGTGGTGCTGTTGGCACCGGTCGCGCTCGCCCCACCCGCGGCGCTGCTCCCGGTCGCACTGCTCGCCGACCTGCTAGGCGTAGCGGCGCTGCTGGCATCGGTCGCGCTCGTCATATCCGCGGTGCCGCTCTCGGTCGCACTGCTCGCCGACGCGCTGGGATTGGTGGCGCTGCTGGTAGCGGTCGGGCTCGCACGTTGGCGGCGCTGCTCTCGGTCGCGTTGCTCGCCGACGTGCTGGGCGTAGCGGTGCTGCCGGTGCCGGTCGTGCTCATCATCCTTGTGGTGCTGCTCTCGGTCGCTCTGTTCGCCGGCGCGCTGGGCGCGGCGGTGCTGTCGGTACCGGCCGCGCTCGCCACCCTCGCGGCGCTGTTTTCAATCGAACCGCTCGCCGATGCGCTGGGCGTCGGGGCGCTGCCGGCACCAGTCGCGCTCCTCACATCTGCGGCAACGCTCTCGGTCGCACTGCTCGCGACATGCTAGGCGCAGCGGCGCTGACGGCATCGGTCGCGCGCGCCACGCCCGTAGCGCTGCTCTCGGTCGCACTGCCCGCTGACATGCCGGGCGCAGTGGCGCTGGCGGTCGAGGCCGCGCTCGCCACACTGGCGACGCTGCTCTTGGTCGAATTGCTCGCCGAAGCGCTGGGCGTAGGAGCCGCCGGTGCCGGTCTTACTCGTCATTCACGCGGTGCTGATCTCAGGACTCTGCGATGTGCTGGGCGCAATGGTGCTGCTGGTGCCAGTCGCGCTCGCCAGCCTTGCGGTGCTTTTCACCGTCGTACTGCTCGCCGTCGCACTGGGCGCAGTGGTGCCGCTGGTATCCGTCGAATTCGTCATACTCATGGGCTACCCTCGGTCGTATTACTCTCCGTGGTGCTGGGCGTAATTGCGCCGCTGGAAGCAATCGTACTCGTCGCACTCGCGGCGCTGCTCTCGGTCGCACTGCTCGCCGACAAGCTCGACGCAATGGTGCCGCTGGTTCCCGTCGTGCTCGCCATGCTCGCGGCGCTGCCTTCGGTCGCACTCTTCGCCGGCGCGCTGGGCGCAGTGGTGCCGCTAGTACCCGTCGTACTTGTCATACTCGTTTGAGCTCTCGGTCGCATTACTCTCCGACGTACTGGGCGTAGCGGTGCTGTCAGTAGCGGTCGTGCTCGTCGTAGCCGCGGCGCTGCTTTCGGTCGCACTGCTCGCCGACGCGCTGGGCGCAGTGGTGCCGCTGGTACCGGTCGTACTCGTCGTAATCGTGGCGCTGCTCTCAGTCGTACTACTCTCCGCCGTGCTGGTCGCAGTGGCGCCGCTGGTACCAGTCGAATTGGCATGCTCGTGGCGCTGCTCTCGGTCGTATTACTCTGTGGTGCTGGGCGCAGTGGAGATGCAGATGCGATAGTCCTCGCCATACTCGTTTTGCTGCTTTCGGTTGCGCTGCTCGCCGGCGCGCTGGGCGCAGTGGAGCCGCTAGTACAGGTCGCACTCGCCATACGCGGCGCTGCTCTCGGTCGCGCCGTTCGCCGACGCGCTGGGCGTAGCAGCGCCGCTGGCACCGATCACACTCGCCCCACTCGCGGCGCAGCTCTCGGTCGCACTACCCCCCGACGTGCTGGGCGCAGCGGTGCTGCTGATACCAGCCGAACCCGCCCTACCCGTGGCGCTGCTCTCGGTCGCACTGCTCGCCGACGTGCTTGGCGCTGCGGTGCCGCAGGTGCTGGACGCAGTTGTGCTGCACGTGGTGCCGCCCCCGGTCGCACTGCTCGCCGACGCGCAGGGCGCGGGGGTGCCGCTAGTACCGGTCGTTCCCGAAATCCTCGTGATGCTGGTCTCGGTTGCACTGTTCGCAGACGCGTTGGGCGCACTGGCGCCGTTGGCGCCAGATCCACTCGTCACATTCGCGGCGCTGCTTTCGCTCGCACTGCTGTCAGACGCGCTGGCCGCAATGGTTGGTGCCTGTCATCACCGTCATACTCGCGGTGCAGCTCTCGGTCGCACTGCTCGCCGCCACGCGGGACGCGGTGGTGCCGCTGGCACTGGTCGCACCCGCCATACTCGTAGAGCTGCTCTCGGTCACACTGCTGGCTGACGCGCCGAGGGCAGCGGTGCCGCTGGCGCAGGTCGCACTCGCCATACTCGTGGCGCTGCTCTCGGCCGCGCTGCTCGCCGACGTGCTAGGCGCGGTGGAGCCTCTGGCACTGGTCGCATTCGTCATGCCCGCGGTGCTGCTCTCGGCCGCGCCTTCCGCCGACGCGCTGGGCGCAGTGGTGCCGCTGGAGCAAGTCGCACTCGCCATGCTCGTTGCGCTGCTCTCGGTCGCGCTGCTCGCCGTCGCGCTGGGCGCGCAGCGGCGGCGCCGGCACCTCCCATGCACACACATACACACACACACACAAACACACACACACACACACACACACACACACACGCACGCACGCACACACACACACACACACACACACACACACACACACACACACACACACACACACACACACACACACACACGCACACACACACACACACACACACACACACCGCCACGCGCCGACAGCCAGGCGCCAACGCCAGTTGCCGGAAGCAGGCGGGCCCTGCGGGATCAGGGGGAATAACGGTCCCATGTTCAACTACAGCAACCCCAGTCGATGCCGCAGTTGGCGCGGGATCAGGAGGGACTAACAGCCCCATTATCAGGTGCGCAGGAGTGGGGGGGGGAGGAGGCGACAGGGCCAGGCGCTGCAGAAGGCGACAAACAGGCCGCACCCGAAGAACAGCGCCAAGAGGCCTGCCAGGGACAAGAGGGGCGGTTGGCGCGGCACCCAGGGCGGCGGCGCCAGGGGGAGCGATCAGGGCAGGTCAGCGCCCGGGGCGTTTCCGGGTTCAATTTTCGGTGTGCCCAGAGCTGCGCGCTGGGCCGACCCCGCGCCCCTCGCCTTTGGCCGCCCCCCGCTTCCGCTGGAACTCCTGATGCAGGGCGTCTTCGCGGCCCCAGTCGACGTGGGCGCCCGCGTTCCGGGGCCAGGTGCCCACGACGTAGCGGCCGCGTGCCATTTCGCCCAGGAAGCGCTCGATCATGTCGGACTTCCAGCAGGACGGGTCGAACTTGACTCGGCTCCTGGTCTCGCCTTTTTCCTGGCCCACGCGCCCGCGCCAGGAGTGCCAGGCCGCGGTGAAGTAGTAGCCTCCTTCGACCTTCAGCCTTTTCAAATGGGCGGCCGCCGCCTCGCCTGGGCGTCTCGGCCAGCGGACGCGGCGGTCTTCCCGGGGGCGGTTGTGGACAGGGCGGCGGCACGGTGTAAGAGTGGACCTCGGCGGCGTCGAGGTCCCAGGACGCTGCGCATCGCTCGCGATTCGAAGGCGCGGCAACCAGCGCGGTGCGATTGACGCGCCACACCAAGCTGCACCGTCGGCATGACCAGGAGCAGGCACGGGAACAGGGCGACTATCCTTCGCAATGGTCAGCTGCATTGGAGGATGGGAGGTCGGGGAAGAGATAAGAGGGATCAGGGCGCCATCTCGCCGACGGTCAGCATGACCAAGAACAGGCACGGGCTCAGGGCGGCTGGCCGTCGCGACGGCCAGGGGCTGAATTTCGCCTTCGTGCTGCTCGGCAGGGCCAGGACCGACCTCGCCCACGTCCGCTTCCGCAGCTGGCGCCGGTCGAGCTCCAGCACCTGCGGCGCCGCGCGCGGGCGGGAGGTCGCCATCAGGCTGCTGAGCCTGTCCCGGGGCAGCGCCGCGCTGCAGGCCCCCGCCCCCCACCTCGCCCTGCGCCTTGTCATCGCGCATCTCGTCCTCCACCTCCTCCACCACCGCGCTCTCGAACTCATCGTCCCCGTCGTCCGCCTCCACCCCCGCCTCGTCGATCACCTCCTGCACCTCCGCCTCCTTCTCCTCCCCCGCCTTCTCATCGGCCTGACCCCCCCTCCTCGGGGAGCCCGCGCGAGGCGGAGCCGGCGTCGCCGTCCAGCGTCGCTGTACGTCAGCATGTCCCGGCTGAAGTCGCCCGTCACGCCCTCGTCCTCCAGCCCGTCGGGCTCGCCCTCCACGCCCTCGTGGGCCGTGCTCTCGCCCTTCGCGCCGTCGCCGTCCACGTCCTGGTCTTCGTACTCCACGTCTCTGTTCTCCGCATCCTCCATCGCGTCTACACCTCCGGAACCCCCCCACCTCGTCGACGCCGAAGGCAGGGACGCAGTTGACGAGGAGGCGACGCCTTCCGAAAGAGCGAACGTCGAGCTGAGTACGCGAACCGCAAGGCGCTCACAAGCTGATAAATAGCACGGCATTCGAATACCCTGCTCGCTCACGCGGGGCCTCCCTGGAGGGGTGGGAGGGGCACGAAGCCTGATAGATAATATGGCATTCGAATACCCTGCTCGCTCAGGCGGGGCCTCCCTGGAGGGGTGGGAAGGGCACGAAACCTCATAAACAGTATGGTATTCGAATACCCTGCTCGCTCAGGCGGGGCCCCCCTGGAGGGGCGGGAAGAGCTCGCTCGCGCGGGGCCTCCCTGGAGGGGTTGGGCGGGCACGAAGCCCGACACATAGGATGATATTCGAATACCCTGCTCGCTCAGGCGGGGCCCCCCTGGAGGGGCGGGAGGGGCGCGAAGCCTGACGAATATTATGGTATTCGAATACCCTGCTCGCTCACGCAGGGCCTCCCTGGAGGGGTCGGAGGGCACGAAACCTAATAAATAAAATAGTTGTCGAATACCCTGCTCGCTCACGCGGGGCCTCCCAGGAGGGGTGGGAGAGCACGAAACCTGATGAATATTATGATATTCGAATTCCCCGCTCGCTCACGCGGGGCCTCCCAGGAGGGGTTGGAGGGGCACGAAACCTCATAAATAATATGGTATTCGAATACCCTGCTCGCTCAGGCGGGGCCTCCCTGGAGGCGCGGGAAGGTTTTGCATGGTGTGGGAGGTATGGTACTGCATGGCAGAAAGTATGGTGTGGTAGCTATCATGTGGTAGGTATGGCATGGCATTGTACGGATGATATGGAAAAGTGAACGCGAGGTGGGAAGATGGGAACGTGGGAAGGAGAGGGTGTTCTGGGAAAACAAAAACCCCACTCAGGATGTGGGGAAATAGTCAGGTGCAGGTGTTTCGAGTATGTTTTGACAATTGTTGGCTGTGTTGTTTGACAATTTTCCATTGTTCCTCCAAAATCCGCCTGTATGGGGAACATGCCCGACCAAGGACGAGAACTGGAAATACCTCGGCTGTATAAACTCGGAAGCCGCTGGAGGAGCGCAAGCGCGAGGCGGCGTGAGAGCGGGGCTGCCTCGCGTGATACATGGCAGACGACCCGTCGGGTCGTCTGCCAGAGTATTTCCTCGCATGCCAGCAGGTGTTTAGATGACTCGTGCACGTGCTGCGCAATGATTTATCACATGAGCACTTCTTCGCGCCTACCCGGTTGGGAGCGCGGTTCATCCAGTCAGTCCCCAGGGGGAAATTCAACATGCATCACCTACGCTTACATATAGATTTATATATATATATATATATATATATACACACACACACGCACGCACACACACACACACACACACACACACACACACACACACACACACACACACACACACACACAACGCCGGGGTGCAGGGCTGGGGCCCTTCTTCCAAGTGCCCCGACTCGCCATGGCGGCTCTGGGCTCGCTGGGCGCCCTCCCCAGCGGCCCGAGAGCCGCTCAGACGGCCCCAAGCAGCGCCACAGAGAAACGAAAAGGTTTCTAGATGTTCCGCGGGGCTTCCGGGCAGCCCCAGATAGCGTCAGGACGGTCCAAGAGGGCTCGCCGAGCAATTCCCAGAGGCAAACACCATCGATATTCCCTAGGTCTTCTCAATGTTTCTGGGACTCTCGACTTTCGAGCTTCCGACGTTCCACGACGTCCCAAGGGGCCCCCAAGACCGCCCCAAGACTGCCCAAGAGACCACGAAGACTGCGCCAAGACGGGCCAAGAGGCCCCAAGGCGGCCCTAATAAGGGTCCAACGCGGCCCAAGAAGGCTCCGAACCAGTCCCGCGAGGGGCCCATGAGCAGGAGTCCGAAAAGACAATTCGAGCTTTCCGTTCCAGGATGCCCCCAGACGGCCCGAGACGGCTCGTCGAGCGCTCCCCAGAGGGCCCAAAGAAGCAACAAAACATTGATTTGCCTTGAATATCGGGGCCCTCGACTTTTCGAGCTTCTGACGCTCCGCGACGCCCCGAGAGGCCCCCCCAAGACCGCTGAGACGGGCCAGGAGGCCCCCAAGAGTGCCCAAAGACGGCCCAAGGGGGCCGGCCCCAGGCGGCCCCAGAGGCGCCATGGACGCCTCAAGACGGCCAAGAGGGGCCCGAGCGCAGGAACCCGGAGCGAAAATTCAAGCTTTTCGTTTTCAGATGCCCCAAGGCGGCTCGAGAGGACTCGATGAGCGCTCCCCAGATGGACGCAAGAGGCACAAACCAATGGTTCCCCTGCGGTGTTTATGTGTTTTCGAAGGTCCGCACCCACTTCGGCTCACGCCCTCTGGCTCAAGGCCGCTCTGGCTCGAGACGAGCCGAGCCAGCCTTGCCCGCGCCCCCCGGGCGCGCTGCCCAAGGCAGGTTGGGATGGAGGCCCCCTGCTCCTGATGCGCCATGGCGGCGCTCGCTGGACTGACGGCCGGCCGGGCGCCTGGCCGCGGCCCTGCCGCCGCCGCCGCGCCCTCGCGGGCGGCTCGCCGGCATCGGCAGCGGCGCGCGGCCGCCGCCCGCATCGCCGGCGCCGCCCCGGCCCCCAGCCGTCTGCCTCCGCTGGCTTGAGGCCCTGACGCTGGCGGCGCCGCCGCGGCTGCTGGCGCGGCCGCCGCCCCGTGCGCGGCTGCGCCCGCTTCGGCCGCCGCCTGCGCCGCGGCCGCGGCGGCCGCCGCCGCCGCGGCTGCTGCCGGCCCCTGGCCGGCGGCAGCCGCGCTCGCGCTGGCGGCCGAATTCGCGGCTGGCGCCGCGCGCCCCGCGCGCCCTGGGCCGCGTCGGCCGCGCGCGCGCCCGGGGCGGCGCGCCGGGCGGGGGTTGCGCCTGGCGGGGCGACGCTGCCGCTGGAGGCTGAGCGCTCGGCTGAGCGCTCGGCGGCGGCCGAGCGCTCGGCCTGGCTGGCTCTGGAAGCCGAGCGCGCGGCGAGCGCGGAGGTGCTGGAGTGGACAGGCGCGACGGCGACGGCGACGGCGGGCCAGGACACGGGCAGGCTGGACGACGACGCAAAGGACGAGGATGCGGAGGGCGATGACCTGGAGGACGAGGTGCATCTCATCGGCATGTTCGCCCAGGTGGCGGACGCGGAGGAGGCGCAGGAGGTCGTCGAGGCGGAGGCGAAGGACGAGGCGGAGGACGAGCTGAAGCACGGCTGCGCGAGCACGTCTGCAGCCCTGGAAGGCGCCGTCTCTTCGAGCGCGCCCCCGACTATGTCGCGCGGCCCCCTTGGGGCAGGGGCCACGACGATAGACATTCTAGCAGAGACAGAAGTACTCCTCTCGGTGGGCACGTGCTTTGCCATGGAGGGTGGTAATAGCTCAAAGATGGTTTGTATTTCAGGCTGGAGTCAGGACCGGATCCAGCTCGCGAGCGCCTCGCGCCTCGCGTACCCCGCCAGCTCAACGCTCACTCTTTCGGAAGGCGCCGCCCTCTCGTCAAATGCGCCCCCGCCTACCACGCGCGGCCCCCCTCGCGAGCCGCGGGGCGCCCGCGCGAGGCGGAGCCGGTGTCGCCGCCCGCGGCAACGTCGCTGCACGTCAGCATGTTCCGGCTGAAGTCGCCCGTCACGTCCTCGTCCTCCAGCCCGTCGGGCTCGTCCTCCACGCCCTCGTGGGCCATGCTCTCGCCTTTCACGCCGTCGCCGTCCACGTCCTCGTCCTCGCACTCCACGCCTCCGTTTTCCTCGCCCTCCATCGCCTCCACCTCCGGCACCTCCCCCACCTCCTCGACGCCGAAGCCGGCGCCCTGCGGCTCGCGAGGGGGGGCACGCGTAGTAGGCAGGGACGCATTTGACGAGGAGGTGACGCCTTCCGAAAGAGCGAGCGTTTAGCTGGCGGGGTAAACGGACCGCAAGGCGCTCACAAGCTGGATCTGGTCCTGACTCCAGCCTGAAATGCAAACCATCTCTGAGCAATTACCACCCTCCAGGGCAAAGCACATGCCCACCGAAAGGAGCACCTCTCTGTCTCTGCTAGAATGTCTATCGTCGTGGCCCCTGCCCCAAGGGGGCCGCGCGACATAGTCAGGGACGCGCCCGAAGAGACGACGCCTTCCAGGGCTGCAGACATGCTCGCGCAGCCGCGCTTCAGCTCGTCCTCCGCCTCGTCCTCCGCCTCCGCCTCGACGACCTCCTGCGCCTCCTCCACGTCCACCGCCTGGACGAACATGCCGATGAGATGCATCTCGTCCTCCAGGTCCTCGTCCTCCGCATCCTCGTCCTTTGCGTCGTCGTCCAGCCCGCCCGTGCCCTGGCCCGCCGTCGCCGTCGCCGTCGCGTCCGCCCACCCCAGCACCTCCGCGCTCGCCGCGCGCTCGGCCTCCAGAGCCAGCCAGGCCGAGCGCTCGGCCGCCGCCGAGCGCTCAGCCTCCAGCGGCAGCGTCGCCCCGCCAGGCACAACCCCCGCCCGGCGCGCCGCTCCGGGCGCGCGCGCGCGGCCGCCGCGGCCCAGGGCGCGGCGCCGCTCCGGGCGCGCGCGCGCGGCCGCCGCGGCCCAGGGCGCGGCAGCCGCGGGGCTCGCGGCACCAGCCGCGAATTTGCCGGCGGCCAGTCAGCCGCGGCGGCGGCCGCCGGCGCAGGCGCCGAAGCGGGCGCAGCCGCGCACGGCGGCGGCCGCGCCAGCAGCCGCGGCAGCGCCCGCGGCGCCGCCAGCGCCAGGGCCAGCCAGCGGAGGCAGAAGGCCGGGGGCCGGGGCGGCGCCGGCGATGCGGGCGGCGGCCGCGCGCCGCTGCCGACGCCGGCGAACCGCCCGCGAGGGCGCGGCGGCGGCGGCAGGGCCGCGGCCAAGCGCCCGGCCAGCCGCCAGTCCAGCGAGCGCCGCCATGGCGCGGGGGAGGGGCAGATCAGGAGGAGGGCGCCCCCATCCCAACCTGCCCCGGGCAGCGCGCCCGGGGGGCGCGGGCAAGGCCGGCTCGGCTCGTCTCGAGCCAGAGCGGCCTTGAGCCAGAGGGCTTGAGCCAAAGTGGGTACGGACCTCCGAAACACACATAAATACCGCAGGGGAACCATTGGTTTGTGCCTCTTGCGTCCATCTGGGGAGCGCTCATCGAGTCCTCTCGAGCCGCCTGGGGGCATCTGAAAACGAAAAGCTTCCATTTTCGCTGCGGTCTCCTGCGTTCGGGCCCCTCTTGGGACCGTCTTAAGGCGTCTAGGGCGCCTCTAGGGCCGCCTGGGGCCGGCCCCCTTGGGCCGTCCTTGGGCACTCTTGGGGGCCTCTTGGCCTGTCTCAGCGGTCTTGGGAGGAGCCTCTTGGGAACGTCGCGGAACGTCATAAGCTCGAAAGGTCGAGAGCCCCGAGATTGAAAAAACTTTAGGCAAATCAATGGTTTTTGCCTCTTTGGGCCCTCTGGGGAGCGCTCGACGAGCCATCTTGGGCCGCATGGGGGCATCTTGGAACGGAAAGCTCGAATTGTCCTTCCGGACTCCTGCTCATGGGCCCCTCTTGGAACTGGTTCGGAGCCCTCTTGGACCGCGCTGGGCCCCTATTAGGGCCGCCTTGGGGGCCTCTCGGCCCGTCTTGGCGCAGTCTTGGTGGTCTCTTGGGCAGTCTTGGGGCGGTCTTGGGGGCCCCTTGGGACGTCGTGGAACGTCGGAAGCTCGAAAGTCGAGAATCCCAAAAACATTGAGAAGACCTAGGGAATATCGATGGTGTTTGCCTCTGGGAATTGCTCGGCGAGCCCTCTTGGACCGTCCTGACGCTATCTGGGGCTGCCCGGAAGCCCAGCGGAACATCTAGAAGCCTTCTCGTTTCTCTGTGGCGCCGCTTAAAGCCGTCTGAGCGGCTCTCGGGCCGCTGGGGAGGGCACCCAGCGAACCCAGAGCCGCCATGGCGAGTCGGGGCACTTGGAAGAAGGGCCCCAGCCCTGCACCCCGGCGTGTGTATATAAATATATATTCCTCTTCCTATATTTCTACAAGCCCGGGGGGGGGGGGAACCGCCCCCACCCCAAAAAAAAACTGGATCCCCGGGATCTGGGGTTCTCGGGCTCCCTTGGACGTCCTTGGAAAAGGTCACCCGGCTTTCCGGGTCTCCACAAACGCCTTGCCAGCAGACCCAGAGCGATCAGAGGGGCCATCTGAAAGGCTCAAGGGAGGCCCCAGCACAAGAGCGCTCCAAGAGGGACTCCAATTGTTTCAGGACGGCCCCAAAGACCCCCAAGGCACCCCAAAAAGCTTTCCAAGGGGCCCCAAGAGGCAATGTTGGTTTTTGGAGAATTCTGGGGTTATCCTATTTTCGGCTTCCCGACGCTCCAAGACGGCGGTTTTCTGGGCGTCCGAAGCCGCTGGAGAGGCTCCAAGCACGCCCCACAACCCTCCGAAAGGGCTTCCAGGCAGTCCAAGAGAGACCCAAAACGGCACAACAGGGGTCCAAGATGGCCTTCAGAGAGCCCCATGGCGGCCCAAGATGGCCCCGAGACACCCTCCGAAGCATTCCAAATCGTGACCCGGTCGTTCAGGGAGACCGCGGTTGGAGGCATGGTGGCCCGAGGAAGCCCCCGGAGGCTCCCAGAACACGCCCAGGAGGCCTCCAGAAGGCCTGTAGGAAGCCCGAAACAACTTTTGTGAGGCCCCCAGACGCTCTCCAGGGAGGAGCCTCCGCAAAAGGAGCTGAGGAGGATGAGGAGAATGCGCAGGGCATGGCGAAAATGAGGAAAAAGAAGCATGGAGGACGGATAACGAATAACATTATTTCAGCGGCGATGCCAGAAAAGGCAACAAGGATTTCTCGTTAAATTGTCGTCTTGACCTTCCTGCTAGTCCGCCTGCATACCAAACTTCAAGGACCAAGATGTATGGCGCGAAGCGCCACTGCAGACTTGTATATTAATATATATATATATATATACAAATATGAATATATATATATATATATATATATATAAAAAATAAGCTTAGGTGATGCTTATTGAACTTATAACCATAGATCCTCCCCTGGGGACTGATTGGATGAACCGCGCTCCCAACCAGGTAGGCGCGAAGAAGTGCTCATGTGATATATCATTACGCAGCACGTGCACGATTCATCTAAAAACCGGCTTGCATGCGAGAAAATACTCTGGCCGACGACCCGTGTAAAAAAAACTGCTGCTGCGCATCCTCGGGCGACTCGCCAAGCCAAAAAATATCGAACACCTGCGACAATCGGCCAGTCGGCCGTGAACAAGTGCCAGAACAATCTGAGTTATAATGGACGCGAGGCAACCCCCCTCTCACGCCGTCCCGCTCTTGCACCCCTCCAGCGGCTTCCGACTCAACATAGCCGAGGTATTTCCAGTTCTCGTCCTTGGTCGGGCATGTTCCCCTACAGGCGGATTTTGGAGGAAAAATGGAAAATTGTCAAAACAACAAGAAATAGCCAACAATGGTCAAAACGTACTCAATAAATCTGCACCTGACTATGTCCCCACATCCTGAGTGGGGTTTTTGTTTTCCCAGAACACCCTCTCTTTCCCACCTTCCCACCTTCCCACCTCCCGTTCACTTTTTCCATACCATCCGTACAATACCATACCATACCTACCACATCATAGCTACCACACCATACCTTCCATACCATACCATACCATAGCTGCCATACAATACCATACCTTCCACACCATATTATACCTTCCCACACTTCCACGGAGGCCCCGCCTGAGCGAGCAGGGTATTCGAATACCATATTATATGTAAAGTTTCGTGCCCCTCCCACCCCTCCAAGGAGGCCCCGCCTGAGCGAGCAGGGTATTCGAATACCGTTCTATGCATCAGGTTTCGTGCACCTCCCACCGCTCCAGGGGGGCCCCGCGTGAGCGAGCAGGGTATTCGAATACCATACTATTCATCAGGTTTCGTGCACCTCCCACCCCTCCAGGGAGGCCCCGCGTGAGCGAGCAGGGTATTCGAATACCATACTATTTATCAGGTGTCGTGCACCTCCCACCCCTCCAGGGGGGCCCGCCTGGGCGAGCAGGGCATTCGAATACCATATTATGTATCAAGTTTCGTGCCCCTCCCACCCTTCCAGGGAGGCCCCGCCTGAGCGAGCAGGGTATTCGAATACAAAACTATGTATCAGGCTTCGTGCCCCTCCAACCCCTTCAGGGAGGCCCCGCGTGAGCGAGCTCTTCCCACACCTCCACGGAGGCCCCGCGTGAGCGAGCAGGGTACTCGAACACCGTACTATGTATAAAGTTTCGTGCCCCTCCCACCCCTCCAAGGAGGCCCCGCGTGAGCGAGCAAGGCATTCGAATACCATACTATATATATATATATATATATATATATATATATATATATATCAGATTTCGCGCCCCTCCTACCCCTCCAGGGAGGCCCCGCGAGAGCGAGCAGGGTATTTGAATAACAGACTACCGCATAGTCCACCCTTCGGGTGATAAGGAGGTGAGGGGGGGAGGGACCAACGTCGCACTCGATTGATCTCACTATCGAACTCACTACCGATCTCACAATCGATCTCAATCGATAGATCTCACAATCGATCTGACTATCGATCTCACAATCAATCTCACAATCGATCCCACAATCGATCTCACATTCGGTCTCGCTAGTGATCTCACAATCCATATCACAATCCATATCGCATTCGATCTGACTATCGATCTCACTATCAAACTCACTATCGATCTCACTATCGATCTCACATTCGGTCTCACTATCGATCTCACTATCGATATCACAATCGATCTCACAATCGATCTCGCATTCGGCCTTACTATCGATCTCACTATCGAACTCACTTTCGATCTCACTATCGATCTCACTATCGATCTCATTATCGATATCACAACCGAACTCACAATCGATCTCACATTCGGTCTCATCATCGATCTCACTATCGAAATCACTACCGATCTCATTACCGATAGTGATATCACTCGTAACTCAATCGATCGATCTCAAAATCGATCTGACTATCGATCTTACAATAGATTCCACAATCGATCTCACATTCGGTCTCACTATCGATCTCACTATCGATATCACAATCGATCTCACAATCGATATCCCATTCGGTCTCACAATCGATCTCACTATCGATCTCATGATCGATCTCACATTCGGTATCACAATCGATCTCACAATCGATCTCACAAGCGAGTTGACATTCGATCTCACGTGCGATCTCACAATCGATATCACTACCGATCTCACTATCGATCATCAAAACAAAACATCTACATCGTCATCATCATCACCATCATCGTTATCAATATCATCACCATAATCGGGACACCGACTGGACACCGGCGGGACACTGCGGGCCCCCGGCCGCCCGGAAGGGAGTCATTTGGTCCGGCCGCGCCTCAGCCACACGGGACACCAGCGGGACACCAGCGGGACACCGGCGGGACACCGCGGGCCCCCGGCCGCCCGGAAGGGAGACATTTGGTCCGGCCGCGCCTCAGCCACAGGAGACTTTCTCTCGCCCGCCCACGCAGCTTCGCCTCGCCCGCACGGCACGCACGAACACGAAACCGAAATCGATTTCCCAGTAGGGGGGAACTCCGTTCCACTTCGATCTCACCCCCTCACCTCCGATCTATCAGATGTCGCGCCCCTCCCACCCGTCCAGGGAGGCCCCGCGTGAGCGAGCAGGGTATTCGAATACCATACTATTTATCAGGTTTCGTGCACCTCACACCCCATCCAGGGAGGCCCCGCCTGGGCGAGCAGGGTATTCGAAAACCAAATTATCTATCAGGCTTCGTGCCCCTCCCACCCCTCCAGGGAGGCCCCGCGTGAGCGAGCAGGGTATTCGAATACCATACTATTTATCAGGTTTCGTGCCCCTCCCACCCCTCCAGGGAAGCCCGCCTGACCGGGCAGGGAGCGAGCAGGGCATTCGAAAATAAGAAAAACGAGGGAGAGGAGGAGGAGGAGGCGGAGGAGGAGGAGGAGGAGGAGGAGGCGGAGGACGAGGAGGGGGAGGAGAACGAGGAGGAGGATGAGGAGAAGGAGGAGGAGAACGAGGACAAGGAAGACGAGGAGCAAAAGAGTGATGATGATGGGGGAGGCGCACAACGACGAAGAGGAGACAGAGGAGGAGGAGGAGGGGGATGATAGAAGAAGATGGAGATGGCGAGGGCGGGTGGCAGACAAGAAGCAACGCAACCCCGTAACATCCTTATGTGGGGAACTCCGTTAGCATAATTTTTGTTTAGCTTTGAATATTCCTCCTGCAGAGGGACAGGCCCGATTTAATTCTCGTCCTTGGATGCCGACTTCAATGGGGCACCTGCCGCCCTCGCCACCGCGGCGGGCCCCTGCTGGTGCGATGGGAGGGAGACCATGATTGACTACTTACCAGACCACCCCACCCCAACCCGAAGACCCGAATTTGACCCGAATTTCGGCTTGGGGGGGTACGGATTCCATGTGTTTTTCCCCACATCCAAAGTGGGGTTCTTGTTTTCTCTGCACACCCCCCGCGCAGGATCTCACACCCTCTCTCTCTCTCTCTCTCTCTTCCTCTTTCTCGCCATCATCATCATCAGTCATCATCATCATGACCCACGCCTCTCCTCCTCAGCACCATCACACTTACCCATACACCACTCGATCGCTCACTCACTCACTCACTCACTCACTCATCATGATCATCACATGAGGATATCATCCGTTGGCGTCACACATCACTCAGTCAGTCCGTCACTCACTCGAGTATCAAGCGGGAGCGTCGTCTGTGAGTGAATTGCGAGGAAGTCTCAGGCGGGAGCCTCTCCCTATGGGGCCCGCAGATCATCTTACTAATCCGAGGCGGGTCATCGGGATCCTGTAACTGTCGTCACTTTTGGGCTCCTGGGGCGTGAATTTGGAGGAAGTATCAGGCGGGAGCGTCGTCTGTGAGTGAATTGCGAGGAAGTCTCAGGCGGGAGCCTCTCCCTATGGGGCCCGCAGATCATCTTACTAATCCGAGGCGGGTCATCGGGATCCTGTAACTGTCGTCACTTTTGGGCTCCTGGGGCGTGAATTTGGAGGAAGTATCTAGCGGGAGCCTCGTCTGTGAGTGAATTGCGAGGAAGTCTCAGGCGGGAGCTTCTCCCTATGGGGCCCGCAGATCATCTTACTAATCCGAGGCGGGTCATCGGGATCCTGTAACTGTCGTGACTTTTGGGCTCCCGGGGCGTGAATTTGGAGGAAGTATCAGGCGGGAGCGTCGTCTGTGAGTGAATTGCGAGGAAGTCTCAGGCGGGAGCCTCTCCCTATGGGGCCCGCAGATCATCTTACTAATCCGAGGCGGGTCATTGGGATCCTGTAATTGTCGTCACTTTTGGGTTCCTGGGGCGTGAATTTGGAGGAAATATCAAGCGGGAGCGTTGTCTGTGAGTGAATTGCGAGGAAGTCTCAGGCGGGAGCCTCTCTCTATGGGGCCCGCAAATCATCTTACCAATCCGAGGCGGGTCATCGGGATCCTGTAACTGTCGTCACTTTTGGGCTCCTGGGGCGTGAATTTGGAGGAAATATCAGGCGGGAGCCTCGTCTGTGAGTGAATTGCGAGGAAGTCTCAGGCGGGGGTCTCCTCCCTATGGGGCCCCCAGATCATGTTACTAATCCGAGGCGGGCCATCGGAATCTTGTAACTGTCGTCACTTTTGGGCTCTTGAGGCCTGAATATGGGAGAAGGATCAGGCGGGAGCCTCGTCTGTGAGTGACTTGCGAGGAAGTCTCAGGCGGAAGCCTCCTCCCTATGGGGCCCGCAGATCATCTTACTAATCCGAGCGGGTCATCGGAAACCTGTAACTGTCGTCGCTTTTGGGCTCCTGAGGCCTGAATATGGGAGAAGTATCAGGCGGGGGACATCCACGGCGTCTTACCGGCACACGTCGGCATGGAGGTCCGGTTCACGGCCGTGCAGGAGGAGCTGAAGAAGAAGTTGGGGCTCGTGCAGGAGCAACGGGCCACCATCGTGTCCTTCGAGTTTCACGCAGACGACGAGCGGGACTACGAGGAGTGCGCGCCGGGCCAGCTCTTCCGCCCCCGCTTCCTACCGCAGGGAATCTGGCTGCATGTGCACGGCTTCCAGGAGTCCCCGATCTACAAGGAGGTCGCCGAGGTGCTGCTGCAGGGCACCGAGGGCGCTGACGACGACGGCGAGGCCCAGGCGCGGGCGAGGAGCTTGCTCATGTTCAGGCCCAGCGAGCAGGAGCTCACGTGGCAGAGCTCGGGGGCGCACACTGTGCGCCGCTCGGGATTCACGCTGACGCACGCGTCCTACCTGACCTCCACGCTGTCGCAGGGCCAGACGCTGCGCAAGGGCGTCACCATCGACTGCGCCAGGGATGAGGACGCTGGCCGCACGGGCATGTCGGACGATATGTGGTGGCTGCACCTCTACGTCATGTTCTCCCGCGCCACGTGCATGCGGAACATGCTGATCCTGCGGCCGCCCGCGCGAGAGTTCCTGGAGCGCGGGCCGCCGGCGTCACTGCGGAAGGCGCTCCAGGAGTTCGACGAGAGAGCGGTGGACTCCAGGGCTGAAGCGGAGCAGCTCGCGGCAGAGCTGGGCTTCGTGCTGCCGCCCGCCTGAGCGCCGCGGCGCGCGCGAGGAGGCCCGCGGGGTTGTCCCAACGGCCTGGCCCGCGGGGTTGTCCCGACGGCCTGCCCTCGCGCTCCGGCGGCCCGCGGGAGTGCCCCGCAGGCATGGCTGGCCCGAAGGGTTGACCCGACGGCTTCGCGATCTGGCCGTCGGCAAACGCGCGCGTTCTGACCGAGGCGGCGACGGCGCCGAGGAAAATCGACTTGCTTCCCCCGACCGGGGGGAAAGGGACGTGCACGTGGAAAAGAGGCAGGAGGAGGATGAGGACGGAAGGGGTATGGGGAGGGCGATGATGAGGAGGAGGTGGAGAAGGAGGAGGAGGAGGAGAAGGAGGGGGGGGGAAATAGAAGAAGAGGAAAAGATGGCAGAGGAGAGGGCGATACGAGGGTGTTTGCCATGGCCGGGAGGAAAGGGATAAGGGAAAGCTAAACAGATTATCATGTGGGGTCCTTCCGTCGGAGTAATTCAACGTCCCCCGACCCCCCCCCCCCACTGGAAATGGAGGGCAAATTGAGGGTTTCGGGTTGGGCTGGGGTGGTTTGGTGGGTGGTGAATGATCTGCTCGCAGTTGTCTCGGTTCCTTCAGGGCGTTCGGGTCCTCCTTGGCCTTGGACCTTGGGCGTGGCTCAATAGGGGGGCCATAATAAATGAGGGGGGTCAGAAACGGTCCCCTTTCGCGCCCCTTCCGGGCCCCGCCCCAAGGGGCTCGTTTAGGCACCGTTTGGGTACCTGTTCGGACCACCCTCGCCACCCCTCCATTTCTGGCCCCCCGATTACGCAACGCCCAAGGACCTCCGGCGACCTCGCCCTTGGCGGCGAGGACAGCCCGACCTCGCGTTCGCGCTTTCAGCGCGCAGGCTGGCTGCGCGGTCGACCACCATGGCCCCTGGGCGGCGGGGGGCTCAGAGCCGCGGGACGCGGGCCAGATAGGAGGGAGCTCGCTCCAGATCCACAGCCTGTGCCAGAGGCCTGAGCTAAAAAAGCTACGGACACTTCGGGGCAACCTCCTCGGCCACTTTCGCGGGCCCCGTGCGCACTTCGTATAGTTTTTCAACAAGGACGGCGGGAGGGCCATCATGTTGCCTGCTCTGGGCAGGACAGACAATACAAAATGTACTTTGCGGCTACATCTGGATCGCGCGCGACCACCCCGCAGTGCCTGGCATTCTTGGGCACCAGGGGTGCCTGGCAAACCTGGCGCGAGTGGCGCGCCTGGCACGCGTGGCGAACCTCGCCCCAGCATCGCGCATATGGGGTCTGGTTTTGGTTCCCAGTAGCTGTTCATCCATAGACGACCGCTGACTACGCCGAAACTCGGGCGCAACGTGTTGGAAGGGCGGGTGGGAGTGAGCGAAACAGCTCGCGGACGGGGAGGGTGTCTTGACCCTCCCCGTACCCCCCCCCTCTGGACCTGGACGTATGGGGTCACGACCCATTCGAGCGTCCAAGGAGACCTTGGCGAGAAAGCCAAAATCATTGATTTTACAACTGTGTTGGCCCAGTTCTGGCCTCCTGGGAGGGGTCTATTTGGGCACCCCCCTTCTGCGATCGATGACTTCCAAGATGGCCCCAAGATGGCCCCCGAGGCTCCCAAGAGAGCCCTAATAGGGCCCCAAGAGGCGCCCAGGTGGCCCCAAGAGGTCCTCAAGACGCCACCAAGATGCCCGCACGAGGCCCCCAAGAGACCCCAAGAGGCCCCGAGAGGCTCCACCGAAGCACCCAAGATTCTTCAAGAGGCCCCCAAGACCACCAAGAGGCCCCCGAGACGCCCCAACAGGCCTACAAGAAGCTCTCAAGAGACATCCGAAGAGTCTCCGAGAAGGATCCAAGAGGCCTCCGCCTTTCCCTCTTCCTCACCCGCACAAATCCTCCTTTTCCCTCCTCCGTCCTCCCACTTTTCCTCCTCCTCCTCCTCCTCCTCCTCCCCCTCCTCCTCATACATGCATACACGGCCTACAGAGAGACATCAAACAGAGTCCGAACCTCTCTATCCTCCAGGGCCGAGAAATCCGCACTCCCCTGGGGCGCGGGAGTTTGCAGGCTCGGAACTGGCTAATCCGCTTGGGCTTGATGCGGGTGCAACTGTCCGCCAGATGGACGGCCCCCCCCGTGGAGTACGACCCGCACTTCAGACAAAGAATCACAGGAGCACCTGAAGCCTCGATCTTCGCCGCCCACAAGGTGCGGGGCGGCGTCGGTCGGCCGTGACTCGCAGGCAGCTGGAAGAGCGATCTGGGCAATGGCACGCACGGGCTGCGATGGCAGACCCACGGAAAGGCAGTGGATCTGCCGCGCCGGACGCACTGCCATCTATTAAGTGCCCAC